TTTCATTTGTACTAGAGTGCAAATCAAATTATAGATTTGCATTAGTGTTTTATATTTATAAAAATAATTCGTGATGAAGGATAAAAGAGAGAGAGCTCACTTATAAAATTTAAATGGACAGAGTAGAAGCTATAGCGATTCCAACATTGAGGAAAATAAGACAGTTACCCCTGACACTTACGCAGTTGTCTATGGTCATTTGTGATTTTGTCATGTTATGGTATTTCGATTTATTTACGGTCTGGGTGTGACTAGCTTTGGTAAATTTAGTAAATCATAAATTTTCTCGCTATACTGAGATTCATCCTACATGTTCGATGTTTCTGTTGCTTGATAAGATGAAGTACTGTCAAGTTGAGTAGCTGTGTCGACGTGTGGCTGGAAGTTTATTGAACTCTACGTGTAGTTTCCCGTTTTTTTTTTTTTATATAACTAGAATTCCTTGGGAAGAGTACTGCGAAAGGTTAGTTTCCAATATATATGTATATATATATATATATATATATATATATATACATATATATATATATATATACATACATACATATACACACATGCACTCACACATGCACACACATGTACACACATGCACACACACACATGTACACACATGCACACACACACATGTACACACATACACACACACACACACACACACGCACACACACAGATACATATACAATAAATAAATAAATATATATAAATGTATGTATAGGCCTATATGTATGTATGTATGTGTGTGTGTGTGTGTGTGTGTGTGTGTGTGTGCGCGCGCGCGCGGCGGGTGTGTGTGTGTATGTATGTGTGTGTGTGTGTGTGTGTGTGTGTGTGTGTGTGTGTGTGTGTGTGTGAGTGTGTGTGTGTGTGTGTGTGAGTGTGTGTGTATGTGTGTGTGAGTGAGTGTGTGTGAGTGAGTGAGTGAGTGAGTGAGTGTGTCCGCGTGTGCAATAGCATTACCAGATTCTGATAGCGGAATCAAAATTTTAGAAGGACTGCGAGTGGAATCAGAGCTGATGCTTATAAGCGAGAACAACGCAGAATCGGTCATAACAAATAAATGTGCGAGTCATTAAAGATCATACAGCACTATGGTATTGTGGTGAAATGAGTTAACGATTAGGATAAGTGGCCAGAAAGTGATGAAGAAGAGAAAGAAAGGGAAAGAGGAAGAAGAAAAGACCATGCAGTTTTAGAGAGCTGAGGTCCAAGGTAGGGGTGATCCCCTAAAGATGTGCCTATTAGCTTTGTATCCATTTGACAGAGCTCAAGACTCGGCTCTGGGCATTTTACCTCAAGGACGGACATGGCCATTTCGATGATTTGCTGCGTGGGCATGCCTGGCGGACACGAGTAATAATGACGTCACACGCGGCCAAATCGTTGTTTTCTTGCCTATAATGCCGATCATATGTTCATATGGACCAAGGTGTGGAGAGGCCACTGCCCCTCGTGTGGACAGGGCCTATTTCTAAACCCAATATGTCTAGTATATTTTTCTTTCATCCATATATGCTTCCTATGGGCTTTGGGGATTAATGGTACAGCGCGGGTATCAACAGAATGTTAAGTATTAATGGTTCTCAACAACTGGCAACATGTATATCCAATATTGTCCAACTTGATAAACCTTGATCGTTATGCAAAAAGACAAAATAATGTATATACTTATTTCTTTTGAGATCCATGTTGTATTCAACGAATTTACAAAAACTGATGAAATGGTAAGGATAGAGACTGATCAATTTCTTTGCCTCATGTACGGTAAGCCAAAGGCAAAACTCATTGCTGTCTGCTCATTCTTATATTGGGTGCATTAAGGTTAATGGTTAAAAAGAAAAAAAATATATGTACTGGACATCAAAGGTCATATAGCACTGTAAGAAAGCATAGGAAATGGGTTAAGAACGGGTTTAACGAGTTAATGATCAGGTGTGCTACACGTAAAAAGTCGTACAGTAGTTTAAGATGGTATGGCATTGAAAAAAAGGTAAAGAGGGGTGCGGGTAAAGCGGGCAAGTAAATGGGGCAAAACATGGATTTGGTACAAGAGGAAAGGGTGTACAAGGCGTTTAGATCAAAAGGAAGATATTGGTCTGAGAATATTTCAGTGTAGAAGAGTCAGTATGAAACAATCGATGAGTAATAAGGGTAAAAATGGGCGTCGAAGAAGTAGGAGGGGAAGAATTGGGGAATGAGACAGGGGATCAGAGCGAAGTATTAGATGGAGGGGACCACGTGTATACAGGAGGGGGTTGGTGTAGATGGAGCAGGGTGGGTGGGGTGTACTGGGAGGTAGTGGAAGAAAGGAGCGTGGGGGAAACATGAAGGGGATGGATGGATCTCGGCAATCACTTAGTGAAGAGGAAATGGGAGATTGGGAGGAGGGTGGATGAAGGTAGGCATTTTTATTTTTTTATTTATTTATTTTTTTTTTTTTTATTTATTTTTTTTTTTTTATTTTTTTTTTTTTTTTTGTCGTCATAATTAGATGGAAACAGTTCCGATACAACTATTATGGGATGAGTGAGGCTGGGCAGCAATAAGTTTGCCATTGATGACTGACAGGGTAGATAATGCATGAGCTTGGGACTCAATAACTGGCTGCAGAAGGAAACTTTGCCTACTTGTATTTGAAGACATTATGAGGGTATTGCCAGAGTAAGGGACTGGAGGGGGAATCACAAAAATCGACCCCACTTAACTGGGCTATAAAAAGCACTCAAAAGATTTATAGAGGTGGAAGGAGTTGAAGGACGAGGACAGGAGAATGTGGGAGTGGTGTTGAGTGAGGTGCTGGGAGATGGACAATAAAACAATAAGGATGCAGAGTACTAATAAGGAAGGAAGGGATTGAAAATGAATCCAGACGTTGGAAGAAAGGAAGGTGATTTGGAATGGGTTATTTATTTCTTTAGATTTTTCTGCTGCGTCAACATCTAAGAACATTAGCGACACATAAATAAAAAAACGCGATAGGGTGGGGTTTGGGGACAAAGCCTCCAGGCAAGGTTTTTTATTTTTTTGGTTCACAAGGCGATGTTTGTGGATTTCTAGAAAAATCAATGGTCACAAAGCATTATGACGAAAGTATTGTGGCAAAAAGGGTAAAAATGAATTAATGATAAGGATAAGTGGACAGAAGAAGGGATAAAGAGAAGGAAAAGGAAAGGGAAAGAAAAAGTAAAGACCATACAAAATTAGTTGAGGCGAGGGCTGAGGTCCCCTATATTGGCATTCAATCTCCGCCTCTTAAACCTCCCCACAGCAAAGGAGAGCCAGGGGTCAGGTAACCAGGAAAGTCATTGGGACTAGGGGGAAACCTCAATGGCCATAACAAATTCATTATTGGCCATGGTAAACTTGGAGTATGTAAAGAGGAGAAAGGTTTCACCTGAGAGAGCTAGATAACTAAGCAGGAATAGTGTACCCAACACTGGGCACAGAATTTTGAAGCCTCCCTAATGCAACATGGTTCATGGGATTGGGAGGGGGGGGGGAAAGAAAGTGAAGAAAACTTTATTCACATATTTTATTTATATATATATATATTCATATCTTTTCTCATTGTCATCAAATAACAAAAAGTTCATGTAACAGACTTGTATACTGTCTTATGTACAATTACTACAAAACCCTTTCCAGTGATGTGCCATAATCCCTAACCCTTTAAAAGCTGGTGCATTGGTATCCTTTCAGGTCAGGCTCAAGCAACTGATAGCACACTCTGCATTAAGCTCAACCCTACATTTGCAAAAAGCACCTCTGTATCCACCCAGTTGTAGATGACATACGTAAAAGCCTGTGTATCCTCTTTCTTAAATAAATAAATAAAACTGGAAACAAATAAGTCTTACTGATATATCAAAATATATAAAAAAAAATATTACAAATGTTAAAGTTGCTAATCAGATTATTTTAATTTTTAGAAATCCTCCTGAATTACACTTTAAAGTCATAACTGCATTACATGTCTTCATATGACTATCCTTTTCTCACTGGGTTTTATAAAACATTTTTAACATCTTATCTGCCTCCCATATATACGGTTTCCTGCAATAAAGATGACAATAAATAATAATGTCCCTATTTTTCCAGTCCTTTTCAGCTACTTGTTTATAAAACAAGTTATATAATAAATTCATGCAAGGTCTTATTTAATATATATAAAAAATTAAGAGAATTCTTTAGTACAATATCAATTGTTTCATGTACCTGTTTATGACAAATTACATGTTAACTTCAAATAAAGTTACTTTGAATATTGTAAAATCTGAAGAATTCTTGATTACAATATCATTTAACATATTTTAAACTTGACCAAAAATGAGTATTTAAACAAACCTTCTGAGGGGCTGTATGGTCAAATTTAAATACTGTATGGGTGTCCATTCCATTTCATGGAATTAAACAGAAAATTATGCGTTTGTTTACATTAATGCCTGAGTAAACAATATACAAATCTGGATCACCCTCTTGTGCTGCAGTTGCTAACAGTCTTTTATACAAAATAGGTTACTGCATAGTAATATCAATAAAAAATGCATTGGGCTTTTCAGAACTGCAGTGCAAAAATACTTGCTGGTGTGCAGACTCTTTGAATGAGGTAAGTGGTATAAAAAACCTTAACAACTTATCAAAACCTAGATGCATCATCCATAAATAAATGCTTACTCACAGTTAATAAATACTTTTGTCAATAATGCAAAAGGTGGTCCCTACATCGGTGTTTCTGCAAGGATTACGGTGTAGCACAAATAACCAATTTGAGGAAGTGACAGTGCTGCTAGAAATTTGTTGGTGAAACTACTCAACTCAGATGGTATTAATGATCACATAATTTGCTCTTTTGAAAGTGGTTTCCAAACCTACATGTTCAGAAAATATCATTGACAGATTTATACACTCTACTAGGATTTACTGCGAGAGGCTTCTCTAATGCCACTTCAATATGCTAAATGAAAATCAATATAGTGCATCTACTACTGGTGCACAATATCTCAAGTAAGTTGCTGCAAGGATTACGGTGTAGCACAAATAACCAATTTGAGGAAGTGACAGTGCTGCTAGAAATTTGTTGGTGAAACTACTCAACTCAGATGGTATTAATGATCACATAATTTGCTCTTTTGAAAGTGGTTTCCAAACCTACATGTTCAGAAAATATCATTGACAGATTTATACACTCTACTAGGATTTACTGCGAGAGGCTTCTCTAATGCCACTTCAATATGCTAAATGAAAATCAATATAGTGCATCTACTACTGGTTGCACAATATCTCAAGTAAAACTAATGTACAACTCATGGTAAGGAGTTTTAACAAATGCTTATCAAGTCATACCTGTAAAGTATGTATCATATGAACTTAACAAAATCAGCATTAACAATTCTAACAGTTTCCACTATCACAGACACAATTAACCAACAAATTTAAATATTACAATATAATATCAATACCGACTATGTTTAGTCTAAATTTCTGAGCAGCTGGATCCAAAAAAGTATTTGATATTCATACCAATCTCAGGTCTGAATATCAATACTTTGGTGATATTTTAGAATCCAGTCCATGATATACCAAAGAAAACAGGCTACAAGCTTTTGAGCCCTCCTTGCCAAAACGTATCGCTACTGCTTCTTTTCATTTCTTTACAAAGCTATCAACTGAGGAAATCCTACTTTTCACTGCAAAATGGTATGCAATGATTAGTCTTCCCTGTATCAAATACTGCACTTGTTAAGCATGAAGGTCTTCCCTGATTTCTCACAAGCATCTGTTTTTAATTTCTCTCATCTCGGGTTCTTAAGCCTTAACATTGCAGACTGCATCATTCATTGCTTCTGCAACATAATCAATGTTGCCTGTTGTCAAACCACACATGTTAATTCTGCCACTGGACAGTAAATAAATGTGGTACTTCTCTGCTAGGTACTTAGATTGCTCAGCTGTAGAAGAAAAAAACAGATGTAAGTCTTACAACAAGCTACAAAACTGACACTATATGCAATATAGAAATATAATACTTTATCTATAAAAGTTGATTAAGTGCGGTACCATCCATGTGTAAACATAAATAATCTAGAATTCCAATGAACATGAAAAATGTTACATGAAGTATTGATTTTGATTTATCTGAAATCACCAACCACACCTTAGTTTCTTACCTGAAAGGCCTGTGAATGAGAACATGCCAATCTGAGCAGTGATGTGGTTCCAGGTTCCTGGTGTTCCCAACTTCTCCAAACGTTCCTGCAGCCCCTTTCGCATTTCAATAATTCGGCCACTCATGATCTTGATACTGTCCTTCCTGCAAGATACAAAATTTAAATATCACAAAATAAAGCTACATTTCTGATTCATTTATTTAGCTGGGAACTTCATTTAACACTAATAAAGTCCTTTAAAAATGCTTATTTGCAATACAGACAAAGCCACAATCAGACAAAGCTTTAGTGGTATTTGTTTACCAATAATATCGCTGAGCCACTTACCATTCCCCAAACAGGGCATCGTCATTGAGAACTCTGGAAACAATCCTTGCACCGTGGCTTGGAGGATTAGAGTATGAGCCTCGGACAAGCAGTGTGATCTGAGATCTCATGGGGATAATCACAGAGGGATCCTTCACGATAATCATCAGGTTGCCAACACGTTCATCTGTGATTTGGGGGAACTAATATAAACATCTGGGTAAGGAAATACTACAGGAATACTATAATAGAAACTAACATCACCCAGAAAGTTCTTTAGAATGCATACTGACTTCACATAAAGAAAATAAATGTCAAAGCAAGTCACTAAATTAGAATTATAAAGATGACTAAACTGATTAACAAAAAGGAAACCCAATCTATGTCAGTACAATTGGCAAGAGCAAGAAACTAATCAGAACTTACTGTACAGGCCAAAGTTCTTAGAGAAGGATTGAGTAGCGATCATCTCGAATCCACGTTCAGCAAAGAGACGGACAGCCCATGCATCTTTGTCAAGGTCTCCAGAAGCAAATCCTTGGTAAGCAGAGTCAAACAAGGGGAACAGCTTCCTCTCCTCCATGACATCAGCAATCTTCTTCCACTGGTCCTGGAAACAATGAAAAGGAGGAGGAATTAACAGGGGAACAAGTAATAATTTTTAAAAAATAAGTAGACCTAGAGACAAGAACTTTGTAGAGATTTCTAAGTTCTGTATACCTGTGTGGGATCCACTCCTGTAGGATTGTGAGCACAGGCATGGAGGATCACTACAGAGTTCTCAGGGGCATTTTGGAGGTCCTCAATCATCCCATCGAAGTCAAGGCCCTTGGTTTTTCCATCCCAATAACGGTACTGCTTGACATCAGTAAAGCCGGCTTGGGTAAAGATCAAGCGGTGGTTGCCTGTCATAGGAAAAACATTGAGAAGATTATAATTTGACAGACCAACTATTTTCAAAGCATAGGAAGTAACCAAGTGCAGCACCATTTTGTATCAGTTAAGGAAAATAGTTCTTAATATTGTCAAGATAACAAGGATTCCTTTATTGAGTAAACAATGGAGAAAAAAAAAAAAAAAAGCAGACTGACCCCAGGTTGGTGTTGAGAAATAGAAGGTATTGTACTTGAGTATTCTGTGGAGGAACTCAGCAGCAATACGCAGTCCTCCAGTGCCTGAGAGCACCTGCACCGAGGTCATCTGTAAAATAAGATAAGGAAAAAAATAAGCAAAACTAATTATCTTCATGAGAACAGAAATTAGTAATCTAGGAACAAAAAGCTGGGAAAAAACATTTACAATTTCAAACTGAAAAAAATACTATCAGAGTAAAATCCTACAATGTAAGCACATACTTCTACATTCCATTTATAATTGCATCATAATCTCAAAATCACTGATCTTGATGGACTTTTAGTCTCCAGAGCTAATAGAAAAATTCACATTTTAAAGATAAAGACCTCCTACTTATCAATGATTTCCTCCTACATACGGCAAAATGCATTAGTATATCAGATAACTTACAAAAGCTACTTATAACCTTTCAAAACTGTTATCATAAGTGCTGACTCCAAGACAAAAACAACAGAATTTTATCAATGCAATAAGTGACAAGCCTTATAATAAACATGAAACATACCCCAGGCCTCCTTTATTCTACCAAATATCCTGTTCATCTGTTGTGTCAAATCAATGAAAAATAAAAACTTTGTAAGAAAAAATCATATTTTTTTGCACACTGATAGCTCCAAAAGTGCTCAGTCACCAAGGAGTCAATTAGTAGGCTCTAATGAATGTTCCTGATTTACCCATTCCTTGAATTAAAGGGAAAATTTGTTGTTTTTTCTTAAGCTATTGCTACTGTTATTATTATTGACAGTATATCATAACATTATTTAAGTACTAAAAACAATAAAAAATAAATAAAATAAATATGAATCTCTGAAAATCAAAGAAAAGGGTAAACAGGTGAGATAGGTAGTACTAACAATTGACTCATTGATGACTAAATACTTGTGGAGCCATCTATGAGTAAACACAATTATTAAATTATAATTACAGTTGAAATAGCATATTTTTTTGCCATCTGCAGTCATTGGGTTCATCTTATCTTAACCTACTCTTGAACTGAGTTTACAGTGACTATCTGCTATCTTCTTACCAGAAATCCTAAATAATTGTGCAAAAACATACTATGAAAAACAATACACAATTTTTCTTTTACCATATCCCTAAAAAAACAATCCCACAAAAAATCATAAATTGAAAAAAATACTGATAAACATCTGCTTACCCTGCCTTCTGTGATAGCTGGATGAGTTGTTCCGAGAAGCATCTTGGCAGCAGCGGTGCTAAAGGACTCCAGACCAAGGATCGGCAGGTACTCGTGGTTGAGAGTCATGTCTGCAGCGAGTTCTGCCTCGACCTTCCTCACCACAGGCAGAACCCATGGCTTAGCCTCGTCCGTCCGGTATGCTGAAAAGAGCATTGATCCATCTCTCAGTTTCTATTGATGTGATTATCTCCCAAACATTACCTCTGCTTGTGTGCCAATTTATGAATCTTCACATATAATTTTTCTATCATTAGAATTCAATTTTTTACAGTGCTCTCTTTTAGTTCCTGTCTTGAACCTAACAAACCCCAATTTTCTTAAACATCTTCCTTTACAACTGAAGTCCAACAGTCATACCCTGAACATACATCTGCAAATTTTTCTTATGAAGGATCAAAAAGAAAATTACTGCCTTTGTTTAACCAAAGTCAAGGACAAATTCCTTTTGGGAGCTGCTGCATATAAACAAGTGTTATCTTAGATAAGACAACAGATAACTCCTTCAAGGATTAGAGTGCACTAACACTCAATATGTTTAATTTGCATCAGGAACAATCTTTTCATTTTGACAGTGAACAGTGAACAAACTTGTTCTCTGATTACAAGGGTAGAAGTTGTAAAAAGAGAAGCAACTGGAGGCCTGGGATGCACAGACAATGTCATGAAAATGGATCAATTCTATATCACCATCATGTGAGTGGGGGAGTAACTAGCCTATGATAGAGAAACATACTCAAATTAAAAATGAAAAAGGACATGAGCAAGGGATGACAAACAGGCTGGTGCATACATAATGTCACACGCAAATTTTAGTTATTTTGCCTTATCTGCAAGATGTTTCACATTTTCCTTTGTACTGTAATACTGTCATACTTTATCAATAACTAAACTAACAAATGTTTTGATTTTAATATAGCTGCCAGGGATGGCATGTAACCAAATGCCATGCCCTCTCTCACCTCTATACTCTCTTCATTTTTCTAAATATATATTTTTAGATTTCATATTGCTGTTACTATTTTTAATAACATTATAATAATGATAATGTAAATTATAATGACAACAGCCCAAATATAGATAGCAGGACTGGTAGACTTATATTCCTGCCAAGATGTGAAAATATACGAAGGGTCTACGCACTACAATAAATTTCATTAATACAATGTCCACACCACCTTGATCTAGGTAATAGGTAAAGATCAACCTTCAAGCCAAGTCACTCAAGAAAGCATCAGCTGTTAGAAAGAGGGGTCTGTATTCCTATCATTATTTTGATGGGAATGTGGTATAGCTAACTGGTGCACTTGGTTTCGTCTGGCATCTTTCTTTCATCATCAAGCCAAGAGAGAGCTATCACATCCTTGTCTCTATACTCACTGGGTCTTCTGCTGTCTAAGATGACTTTGCTTATCCAACCCTCCCCCTTTAACCCTCCTTATCATCCATTCTGAATATAGGGACTGCCAGTTCACAGTTACTGTATATGGTCAGATTATTTTCCTCCAAAGTATGAATATAGAACTAAAGACTGGTTTATTTGTTTTGTTTTTTTTATATATATGTAAAACCAGGAAATTTACTCAATAAACATGCAAAACAATAACCTGTCAGAATATTACATACTTCCCAAGAAGGCAACATTAGCAGAGGGAAAGAGGGGGAAGAGTTCAGCAACCTTATCTCTCACTAAAAATAACTGCAACAATACCAATTGCCACTCCCTGCCACACTATGGCAACAGATAACAAAACAATGTATTACTCTGCTGACAAAACTCGGTCATGAAGCCCAATCAAAACCCATTACCACTAAAAAAGTACTATAGTAACATCATAATGATCTGATATTCATTTATGTACCTAGACGCTACCATAACTTTTATATCCATCCCCATCTCACCTCTACATTTATCATGGTAGTTGTAACTTTGTGCAATGACATTATACCTCATCACCATGGTGTGTCAATTAGTTGTGTGTAAATATGGACTTGTAAAATTGATTACTCTGTTCACACTCTTATTTTATTTATTTCATGTCTTCTTATAATACAAAACATTATTTTTTGCTCTATTCTTTCATGTAATCTCCTGTGCATGTGTTTTTTTTTCTACAAAATGAAGATTTCCCTTATTCTTTGACATTCAAGAAAAGCTATAGCTGTCAGTGTGACTTCAGATATGGATTTCATTTTTAAGAATACAGCAGACACTGACAAACTCCTTGAAATTTGTATCGGTTATAGTCTAATAGCAGAGTCCATTGACGGAGCCATCTCTGTTGTCTGCTTATTGTCAGAAAAACAGTGTTTATGACCTAGCCCTCTGGATGGAGTTTTGGGCACTAGAATGTAATGCATAACAGCTAAGCAAAGAATCAGGAGCTTTTCTACAAGACATATGCACAACATCATTTTCACAGCATATCTGGGGTATTCATCCTGGTAGTGTGGGTGACCAGTCTGAGCTCCGAAGGGCAACAAGTCCTTAGCGTAGGACATTAGGACAGACAATAAGAGACATGACCTCTATGCCACTACTCAGGTCCTTAGTGGTGTGCAATTTTCAAAGTTGTTACAGTGATAAATATGGAGGACTTGCCATAAGGGAATATTACTTTGGGTTGTATATTGTAGTTGAATTGTTGCTCTTTCATGTGGTATGATTTAAAGTTTTAGTAAATAACAAATACTGAAAATCAGGTGTATCTACTGTGATTGCTCAAAATTTAGAGGAACTGCCCTGCAGCAAAATTTTGCAGGGAAATTGAGAGCCAGAAGGTGCTTTCGGAAGACTATGACTATGACTTCCTAAAATAATGTGAATCCAATATACAGTATGTTAATTTATTATACAAATGTCATTCTGCAATTGTATGGCTGATCCATATTGTGACAAGTAAGCTACATTTGAATGGTATTTCTGTAGAAATGCTGCATTTGAACACTAGCAGTTTTCATATAAAAAGTAGAGTTAAAAAGCTTATTATTGCTATATAAGTAGCAATATTACTGAATGGTACAGTGTCAAGCAATCAACACAGCTTTGGTGCCTCTCAGTGCTCTGGCAAATGGCCAGCAGACCTTCACCAAGTATAAACTGGCAAGATATGAGCTTGTATTGTTGAATTCCCTAACAGTATGTTGTCAATTACAGAGCCTCTCCAAGCTGTCTTCCCAGAATATATATGGTTGAGGTTTGCTTGCCTCAGCTAGAATGCCGTTAGCTGAGAGGATGCAGTGATCATTACCTCTCATGCTACACTGCGGTCTAGATGCTAGCCACTAGCTGATATTCCTCTAGCTCTCCTACAACATTAGTACATGACCTCAACTAACAGTTAGTTTTAGCTTATTAAAACCATGACACAGGCAACCCATTCATAATAACTTTGGCAACTGTTTATGAAGTGATCATACTAGAGACGAAGGATCTAATATTCCAGACAACAAGCTTCAGGGCTCTACTGGGAAATTCACTAGCATTGCTATTTGATCTAAATAACTTCCTGGAATCCCTGCCCAATCAACATATTTCCCATATATGGACAGAGAAATACATAAAACGTACATTGCCTTTTTACGAGTGTGACAATGACCGATAAGTACTTTATGGCATATATGCTCAAAGAAAAGTTTAGAATAATCTTTCCAGTATAGACACACTAAGCTAGAGAAAACTGATGACAATATTCTTG